GGCATTTTGTGCATCTTACGTACTATGTTACACATTAAAAGTTTCGCTAAAGACAGGTTCGATTCGCAACCTTTGTAGTCAAGTAATTTTGGGGGTATTTGAGGTGAGGTAATCAATCTCTGGGAGGAGATTGTTCATTATGATAGGTAAAAATGGGTGTGCTGTGTTCTTGACTTATGGTGATTCTTGACACAAATTCCGAATTGATTAAATTAAATTCTCAAAAGGTAATATTTCTGAGTGTTTACGGGTAGGTTCATTCATTAATGCAACGCTTCTGGTGAAGTGAATACGTATGTGATTCTGCACACGCACAATTTGTATTATTGTTATCTCGGCGATCTGCCTGAACGGTTGGTTGAAATCGATTAAAAAAATCCATTAAGAAAAATCACCTTATTATGTGTAACTTCAGCCTTGCATAATAACTATTCTATGACGCAATCGAGTCATTTCTCCTTACAAAATTGGATGGTTTGGTTTTTTTTAGAATTGTGCGTAATGCACATACTATCTAAACAATCTGTCATACTGAACAATTTGTTGACGCTACTAATTTATCTTTGTGGCATGCTTGGCAAAAATTACACGAGGTGCAAAAAAAAATTCTAATTTTCCGTGCAATTGAGAAAACTTGTAATGCCTATCCATTACGATGCATCCTTCTTGTGCTAGTATGAATACTCCGTATGTTGCCATTATACGTACAGTATATATAGGAATCGTTTTTTTGTCAAGGAGGGTCAGGTCTCCTTTTCATCACCAATTGGTAATGTCTTACATTTATTTAACCCCTTCTTTTTTTATGATTATTTATTGATCATTTAACGATTTTTTTCTTTCTTTGGTTGAAGACAAACGGGCGATGTCTGAAAAACGTGAAACCGGAGTGGATTTTTCAATTGAGGAGAGGGGGCAGTTGTCTCCAACCTCAAATAACGTGTTCGATCAGATCACGGAAGAAAAATATGACCAAAGCAATGTGGTCACCACAAATGTTCCACAGTTAACTCTGGAGAGAACGCTCTCTATTAGATATCGCACTTTGTAGGTGACAGCCATCTTTGCCATTTGCCGAATTCTACCGTTCTACTTGAATTAACATTTCCTTTGCACACAGATCCATCCAGACCTCGGATAGTATTCAAGCCGCAAAGCACAAAGTCCCGCAGAAGGGAAAGAAAGCAGGTCTCTCCCCTGACGGT